GCATCCTGATCCCCACCATACTTTGAATGGACAATTTGCAACACATCAGTCAACCAAACTGATCCACCCACGCATTCACACGCCAAAACATCCAAATCAGCTTGAATTGTGCTGTCATGTTTCCAGTTGGAAATACATATCTCATCTTTCATAATAAAATATTATTAAAAGATAATTATGATAAAACACCATAGCATTATCGTTTAATAATAACAAAATGAATTATCTCCTGTGAAACTATGCTCACTCAACAGTGGGTTGATGGTGTAAATTTGAGTCTAAACATAAGTATAACAGAATCGCCGTCAAGAAGACAAAGGCTTCCCACACAAATAGTTGTGTTTTCATGTCAACCTTCAATTTCAACTTGATTGATACTTCTTTTCTTCAAATCGAGCCAAAAAAACTTATCATAGTTGTCCGTAAAAAGAACCATTTAACCCTTCTTTGAAAAAGCCAAAGGTTTGAAATAGCCAAGCGATAGAATTTTGCAACGGTTGTCACCTGCGTTTCTTGTTAGCCAACTTAGAGCACCTTTCAGAAACAGGATATTCTTTGAATCAACTCCAAAACCATTGGCAGACATGTTTTGGATCCGTTTCCAGGAGTAGGATTTTAAGCTATAAACCTTCACCTGAGCGCCCGTAATAACCCCGTCCCCATGAAGAAATTCCACAATTTTCACAAATTTATAGTCATCATTAGCGAAATCATACCCGAAACCATAACAGGGACGTCCTAATGTCAAATCTGTTGGCTGCTCAAAGCTTGTAGAGGGTATCTTCTTCAACTTTTGAATTGATGGATTCCAAATGGAAAAATCGCCTTCATCGCTCCTATGTTTAGTGTTGCGGATGCAAACAAGAACGTTAGAGTAGCCCAATATGTGAGTGCAAGTACCACGGCGTTTAAGCGGCGCTTCCAGTTTCTCAATGGTCCCGAACGTATCATTATCGTAGAACGCCAATGAACAAAAGTCGTTCTCCGCAGCGTTGGAAAGACCGAATTCGGCTCCCTCAATTAAAAGGGTACGAAAAAAAATTCTTCTAATAGCACGTTGCTGACGGGCATCGATGAACTTTCGATCATGGATGGTGGCATATATGGTAAGCTTTCGAAACACACATGAATCGGATCAAATCCTTGGGAGGGATCCGTGAAAGGATGTCAACGATTAACTCCGGCGGCAGGTTTGACATGGTTGAAACTCGAAAGGTTGGTTTTGTATTTGACATGGTTGATAAAATATGATAAGAAAACCCTATCGAACTTAAGAAGCCCTAAGGGTAAATAAATGTACTTTAAATGAAAAAGATTCCCGAAAATAATGACTTGCTTAACAAGTTGAATCAGAAGTCATATTAAGAAAAGGATATCCGAGTAGATTGCTTATTACTAAAGTAAAAAGAACAAGAATCTGGATATTTTGCTTTACAAACAAGATATGAGAGACAATTTTCGTTGTCTTTCTTTCTCATTAAGCTCTGCATGTGTAATTATCTTACGCGGCTGATTTCAAGTCTGAATAAAGGAGGAGAGGGTGTCAGATAATTGACAGCCGACACTCCTTTTCATATCGAATCCCTATGATAATGAATCATAAACGAAATTGCTCTAAAACTTGTTTTTCACCTGGAAGTGACATGGTCCGTGATTGATAAGTGAGCAAGGATCGTTATATCTTCATCGTGCTACGAAGCAATGTTAAACAAACAAGGGCATTGTAGAAACTTTTCATATAGCCGAACCCACTTACTAGGATAAGACTTTGTTGTTGTTACAGTGTGTATATATATGGAAGCAGATCCGTGGCACCACTTTTTTTTACACAACTTTTTGCACACGTTTTCTTGGGGCTCATTTCGTAATGTATTTTTTTTTACACAATCATTTTTGCATCACGTTATTCTTGAGAGGCGAAATTTCGTAAACAGTAAGAATAACAATCCCCAACTGTCTATCTTATAAACAGGTGAACCACGATACATCTTGTGTTATTTGCTTCCCTGTCTCTATCCATTTACATACTTATCCACACTAATGACTACAGCAACCTAGCGAAGGTCACAAACTTGACACTTTCTGTTGTACCAAAGTCCTTGCCGATTTTGTGCATCAACATTTGGCACCGTCTATAGGAATCGACACGAAAAGCTATGAACATTCCCAGAAATTCTGCTATCCGCAAGGCCCTGCTGCCCGTACCCTCAGAAGCTTGTAGATCACAAATGGCACTCAAGTCAGCCACACACAAAGGCCTTCTGCAACTCGCACCCTTCCTCTTTTTCGAGTATCTGACGTTTCAACATTTTAGCATGACATTTATCCAACACATCTTCCGCATCAAAAGCTGAGTCCCTAAGATCATTGAGCCAGAGCTTCAGTGCGCTGCTCTCAGCCATCAGTTGCCTTTCCTCCGCGTCATGCAGAACCCCTCCAATTGCAGACAAGGTGGCACTCCATTTCTTCAGATTTTTATCAACGCCCTTTATGCGTCCACAGTACTTGATGACCTCGCGCTGCGCCAACTTGCTAACCAACACTCGAAGAAATGCCACAAGGAAAGCCTCTGCCGCCATAGTTTCTTCAACAACAGGTCTCCAACCGTCGGTTCCGACGATATCACGACCTTGCTGCCACCACCAGTGGAATCGGGGGACTCAAACTATCAGATTCTCACTCAACCCGAGTGGTGCCGCTGCCATCTCCACTGTTTGGAAAAAATCCATCAGAGAAGATAAGGACTCCATCTTCTCCAAATTATCATTGTTTATTTAATATTTTATTATTGTATCTTTAATCATTCCTAAGCATTATTTTCATTATTTAAATGATAAAGTGAAACTTTAATCATTCATGGCATGGTACAATTAGAGAAGTCAGGTCCCTATTTCACTTTCTGAAAAAACCCACGGGAAAATCAGGAAGAAGATAAGCTTTCTTATAATAATTTTATTATTATCCTCCTTTGATATTGTAGGCCATGCCTAAAAGAAACCCATCATTACGTTTTCCCAGTATCATTGTCTATTAATATTTTATATTATTATTTAATATTTATTACAAGACCACTTGTCTGGCACACGACTTAGTCTTGCCAGCTTTATTATAATTATTTTCATACATGACTACTGACACATCCACCTAGAACCCTCATTATTCTTTACACCCAAACTACACCATTTACATTATTTAATGATTTTATCACATGATTATACTACAACACATGACGCCTTCTGATCAAACCATTTATTTTCATTATTTGAATGTTAGGTCACAGTACACAACAGGGTTATGCACGTATATATATGTATAGTTATGCATGTATATATATGTGTGTATTATCCCTACATCCATCATGTTAAGATTATTATGCTAAGAATGCTTCCCAAATCTATAACTTGGATTTCACTAATCTTAGTCGCATCACTCATGTTTAAATAGGCATTTATTTATGCAACCTTAAAGTGCTGCCTAGTGTCATGTGATTGCCTTTAACCATGTCACTTATGCAACATGTGATTTACCACACAACTGAATAAATTATTTACTTATAGTAGGCACATAGTACAATATTTTACCTTGACAAACTTTGTCAATTTGATTTATTCATTATGCGTTCATACTTATACTGTCATTTATTGTCAGGAATTATTGAACAACTAGCTCTATTGATCAACAGTGTTACTGATTAAAGAAGCCTACCAACCTATAGATCGATGAGCCACATTCTTATGGAGACAAAGATTTAGTTTGAACAGTAATCTCTTGTCTGACCGGACACCCACTTCGTTGGACACTCGCTCATTTGGACACCTATGTGCTTGGACACCCGCAACCTTGGACACCCATTCGTTCGGGCACTTACGAGATTAGACACCGTCAAACTTAGACACCCTTGAGCTCGAAACTAGACTCACGGACCCAACTTGTGGACCCAACTCAAAGACCCTACGTATGGCCCCAATTCAAAGACCCGACTTGTGGACCCGATCCGCAGATCCGACACATAGACCCAATATGCGAACCCTACAAGCGGACCCGAGTCATGTCAAGAGTTAACTCATAATGAGCTCACGCTGACGTCGAGTGCATACTCGCAATGAAGAACGCCACAAGCCGAGCTGCCTCGCAACAAGCACTGCCTCCAGTCGAGCAACCGCCTCGTCGCGAGTATTGCCTCTAGCCGAGCAGCCTCGCAACGTGTGCTACTTCTAGCTAAGTATTGCTTTACGTTAAGGACCATTTCATGTCGAGTACTAGTTCTAGACGACATCTAGTCACTTCGGCCCGCACATGGATTGAATTTGAAGTCTCCAGCCAAAAGACTCTTGATTGAATACCTGCGGAACTCCTGTTGTACCATATATTGGGCCTCAGTATTTGGGCTTCATTACTTAGCCCATGATTCATGTAAGAAGGGAGGAAACCCTTATTCTATAAAAGGGCTCCCTCGCACTCACTAGAGGGGGGGCAAACAGAATAGCAAAGAGAACATCCTTTCAAACAAAAAATGTAAATCCGAACCCAAAAACCAAAAATACTAAAAATCCAAACACGTCAAAAATTTGTTATAGATCCCTGCAAATTTAACAATCCAAAACCATGAGACAGAAAAAGACGAATAGATTATACAAAAAAACCTTAATCCCTTAGTCCAACAGTCATTAAAGAATAATCTAATACAGTATTCCTGAACAGGGTTTTGAGCCCCAGGAACACCACAAGTTACTTCATGCCAAGTTAATTGTTATGATCTCCAGTGCCATACTCTGAAGACCTGGAATTCCCTTGCACACAGCTCTCCACAAATCCGAACTCCATTCGTTATCTATTCAATACATGTCACGCTCCCTCGGCATTGGCCGTATAGGAAACTTGCACACTCCGAATCAAATTACACCCATTTCGTAACACAAACTTGTCTTAGAATTTCAAGCTCAACGTAATTCATTCGCACAACAGCTACCAAGTAAAATGTCAATGGCTAAATGAGAAGATATAGAATACAAATGTAAATTATAAATTGCTTCCGACATTTATATGGAAAGACAAATTTCAACAGGTAAAAAAAGACATTATCTACACTGCGGTTTAAAGAATTTAAAAAATGAGTGGAAATTTTAGGTTAGATACTATAGAATTGAATAGGTTAAGAGTGAAAAGTCTAACAAAGGTTCCCCTACTTCCATAACCACCGGCATGTTTCCAGTTAAGTTCGTACCGGAAGGCTGTTTTGAGTGGCAGTGCTGATGACAGAACGATCCCTTGGTCTAGTTCTCGGAATAACTAATGGTCTACAGCAGATTAGAGTAACGAGCATCTCCGTCATGAACACCATCATGCTTATCCAGACGAATATAGTTTTCTTCCAATTCCATATAAATCTTCTAAATAGGGGAAGCTCTGACTCAAGGGTCACTGATGAATCATATATTTGAGGAATACCGGCACCAGGCGAGTATTCTGCACGCTGTTCTATTGTCACCTTTAAGCAGGCAGTGGGAACATCACCTTCGATAAACCCTCTAAACTTGAGAGTCAGAGTTTGGGATTCTGAAACATAGCCGGCAACAAGAGGAACAACCTTAAGGAAAGTCAATAGAAGGCGGATAGGCTCACTTTTGAACTGTAATATGCATGGTTGGCTCGAACTGGCAAGGGTTTTACCATCTACAGACAGGAACTGGACCCTGACCTACAAAAATAAAACAAAATTAGTCAAATAAAAATTCATGATAGCAAAACGTATTTTCAGAGAGAAAAAAGCGAGAGATTGCCAAATCTTTAGTTTTTTCATTTTTTTTTTTTTTTGGTTTCAATTACATGGCAATGTAAAATTAACTAGGTTTTGTTAATCAGGATTAACAGTGGATCTAAAAGTGTTGATCGTGAAAGCCTCTAATGGAAATTAAAATTTTCATGTCTTCCCCTGTAATACAACAAGTGGCATGAGGTACCCGAGGTATTTAACTCAGAGACTTGGAAAGAGATATACTAGCTCCTTTCGTACTGCTGTATCAACAATTCAACTTCCTTACTTCCCCTGGTGCCAGTATAAGAATTCATGATGATAGTAAGATCTCCAAACAAAAAACAGCATCACCAGATTTCTACGAAAGATCCATGCTTTAGATTAAAGAAAGGCTTACTAATCAATCTTCATGTCCCATATTGTTCCACGGTTCCTATGCCTTCTAAAATTAAGTGACGACTGTGACAATCTGGTGCATCTCCGTTCGGGGGACAAGCAAGGAGAAAACTACTGCCATAACACACCATATGTACAAAATGCTACTTGGAAGCTAACGACTATGATCACCAATCCAAACTTCATATACCCTTTTATAGAATAGATGAAACTCTACCATTGTAACAGCAAACTCGAAACAACCAATTCCATTATGAATTAACGAAAAAAACAAGACGCATGATAGAAGTCTGAAACAACAAATAGGAATTCACATTTAAGTGAATAAAGCAAGTTACCTGAAAGACTCCAAGATTCCTGTTGTACTCCGATTCAGGCAATATGGACGAAACAGTAACCCTCAATTTATGACCAGGAGGTATAACCTGATACCCCCCAAAACTCTCCCCAGCCTGAACTTTCTCTTTACAATCTGTACCACAACTCACACCAGCGCACGACATCACTGGCACATAAGCCACCGGACTGTGTTTGGTGTAATCAAAATTCAACATTTCCTTCATCTGCAGTGGCTCCACCACAATGCACCTCACTAGAACTCCACTAAACAAAATCGCCGAGACCAAGAGAGCACACAAGACAATACCAACATAGCATGACCAAAACAAACCCCAACCACACCGCAATGCCACCTTCCAAACCGCATTGTTGTCCTTCAACCACTCGAAAACCAGAGGACTCACACACCCACTAGCCAAATTCCACAAATATAACAACTTTCCGTTTAAATACTCTCTCCCTCGACGCACAAATTGAAAGGGGTCGACTACCAGCATGTAAGAATTGTGCAAAACCCATAAGGGAAATGTTAAGATGCTAACGAATAGATTAATTTGGAGACCAATTGCTTTGATTACCAATCCTGCTATGAAAACAAGAAGGTTAAACGAAGGGTCACCGATTTGCGCGGCCGAGTCGGCCGAGTCGGCGGATGGGCCATCGTTGGCGGCGGTAGTTACAGTCGAACCCTCGTCCTTTTGGTCACTCGGAACTTGCGCCGAGCTGCCTCGGTCCGGAGTCGACTCGGACTCCCTCAAATTCCGGGGAAGCTTAAATCTTCTAGCTCGGAAACTGAGCCTGGCGTCGTTGTTGGGGTCAATTCGGGAGGAGCTGAGAGAGGATTCTTCTAAAGTTGAAGTGTTTGTGTCGTCGCCGGTGACTGCTCGGACAAATGACCGGCGACGGAGGTGGGTCGCCTGAGGGGGTTTGGAATCGGGGAGGGAGAGTGTTGGGGGTGACGTGGATTGATCTGATTCGTCGTCGGAGGGGAAGTCGTCGAGGGCGTCGAAGAAGACGTCGTCGTTTTCGTCTTCGTTGTTTGAGGCGGGAGGTTCTGTAACTTCCATCGCTGTTGCCGCGTAGCGTGGGGCTGGAGTTTGCTGATTGCTATCGTATCAGCATTTGCCAGTCATTACTTACGAACGCAAAGAAAACGCTGCGTTTTAGGCCTGCTCGTTTTTTTAATTCTTTTTGGATTAGCTTTGGATAGAGAAAATGCTCAAGGAAATAGTGTGTAAAAATTAAATTATTTTTAACTTCGTCTTGGATTAAGAGTACAAAGTGTGTGTAAAAATTGTTTCTCACCTTTAGTGTTTTACAAAACCCATCGTTAGGCACTCGCTTAGGTGTAGAGGCCGGTCAGGATGACGATTAATTCATAAGTATTTAAAAATTAATAAAGGATGCCTAGACACGTCTATGTTGTAACTCTCACATAGACAGAAAATAGATAACTTACATTTTGAATTTTATTTTTTTAATGAATTGTATGTGACTTGTTGGATACTTGGATAAACACTTATTATATCATTCTTCATGTTTTTAATATGTTTTAATATTTTATAATATATATGTCATTCTAGTTTTCAATTTATATTTTTCAATACAATTATGTGTTTTTTTAAGTATATGTACACATTTATTTATATGTTATATAATAAATTTAATTAAAATTTAAAAAACCACTTAGCCACCACCTAGGTTCCAGTTAGACACCCAAGCGTTAGGTCCTTGCCGCCGCCCTAACACCGCCTAGTACCTTTTAGAACCTTGCTTACTATAAATAGAAATGTAGTCCGGTTATGAATGACCATAAACTATCTATAATTTATAGATATTCTTGAATCTTGTCTTTAACAAATGAAACGATTACCCATTTGATATCATCATAGTCTTTAGATGAAGCCCATTCACCATGTTTGTGCAAATATAAAATTTAAAACAAAAAAAAAATATATGGAAAAGAAAAGAAGTTGGAGAGAAATGTAAGAGAGAAAACATGTGGGTTTTATTTATTTATTTATTATAATTAGAGATGCTATGATACATGTGTGTCAGTGTGAAAGGTTAGTAAAAACAAAAAAAATAATTTGGTTTGTGCGAAGTTATATTATTGCTTAAAATTTTATTTTGTGATAGAAGATCAAATTGTCTTTGGACCTTTTTTGATTGATAAAGAACATTTTGTTAATAAGTAATTTAGCTTAATAAAATATGTTGTATAATTGTGTTTATTAACTAAACACTCATAATTGTATGCAACAGGTGACAAAAACGAATGTCACATCCCAATCTCGACTTCACCGTAACACGATATTGTCCGTTTTGGGCCCTGGCCACGCCCTCACGGTTTTGTTTTTGGGAACTCACACGAGAACTTCTTAGTGGATCACCCATCCTGGGAATGCTCTCGCCCAAACTCGCTTAACTTCGGAGTTTCGATGGAACCCGAAACCAGTGAGTTCCCAAAATGTTTTATGCTATAAGAGGTGGACATGCACATATAAGACACATCACCCCCTCTTCGTTGGTTGATGTGAGATGTTACAATAATTCTATTACATCCTAGACTGGCTCCACCGTAGCATGATATTGTCTACTTTGGGCCTCGACCACGCCCTCACGGCTTTGTTTCTGAGAACTCACTGCTTTAGACCTCGACCATACCCTCACGGTTTTGTTTCTAGAAACTCACACGAGAACTTCCCAGTGGGTCATCCATCCTGAGAATGCTCTCGCCCGAACTCACTTAACTTCAGAGTTCCAATGGAACCTGAAGCCAGTGAGTCCCGAAAAGGCTTCGTGCTATATGGAGGTGGGCATGTACATATAAGGCACATCACCCCCTCTTCGTTGGTCGATGTGGGATGTTACAATCCACCCCCCTTAAGGGCTCGACGTCCTTGTCGGCACACTTGCACCACACGGCAGAGTGGCTATGATACAATTCTATCACATCTAAGTCTCGACTCCGTTGTAGCACGATCCGCTTTGGGCCCCGGCCATGCCCTCACGGTTTTGCTTCTGAGAACTCAGACGAGAACTTCCCAATGGATCATCTATCCTGGAAATGATCTTGCCTGAACTCGCTTAACTTCGGAGTTCCGATAGAACCTGAAGCCAGTGAGTTCCCAAAAGGCCTCGTGCTATAGGAGGTAGGCATGTACATATAAGACACATCACCCTTTCTTCGTTGATCGATATGGGATGTTACAACGAAGGTTCTATGAAAATGACCTTTCATGTTAGATACTTAGTGGGTCAAGTTTTTTGGTAGTAATTGGTCCATGCTTGCAAGTGCTTATTGGTACAACTCAAGTCAAATTTGATTGCGTGTAATTGTTTCATGTTTTGTGATTGTACCAGTCCAACTTTGACTTCGAAAAGGAATTGAAGGTTAAGAGGTGCTTAGCCAGTCAGCCCCGCCCTTGGTAATTGACCACCATCGTCCTTTTCTCCACTGCGCGATACTCGAAACGCCGCCACCAATCCTACAATGCACTCACGTGTGATAAAACTTTGTCATGTAGTTATGCATTATTTGTTTTAAGCCGCCACTACAGTGCTACCATAACGTTCCTGAGTGTGCGTCTTCGTCCCCTTTGTTCCCACCATCAAGCTTAATACATGTTCAATGATCACATCAGGGAACAGTAGACGAGTGCTCGTCTACCTCACAAATGACAAATCCATACACACTGTATCCTCAGAATAAACTTTTGTTAAAGATCGATTAGTACAATTTTCATAAATGTTGATGATGATGCAGCAGCTGGCTGTTAAGCTCTTTGTTTGCTTCCTTGTTGCATTGAGTTGTTTCTTGCTGCCGGGACTTGCTCAGCCTCCTCAGTTGCCCCAAGAGGAAGGTGAATTGAGTTGAGTTGTTTATATTACACACACAAACAGACATTTGTATATTATATATATATATATATATATATATATGTATCCATAGCTGGTACGTACAAGGACTCATCCATGACTGGATCTATAAGCTCTTTATTGCAGTCATTTAACTGGCTGAAGTTTGCAGACCTAGCAGTAGATCAGTGTGCTCCCCCCTCCATACCCAGTTCGTATCCCGCTCCTTGTAGCTTGGATTAGATTAATTACATTCTCAGTCGAGAATCTAAGATCATTTATTGCATCAAGTTCTTCTAGAGCAAGGTGTAGAGCTTCGTGTATAGAGCTCAATGATTATGCTGATTTCATTACGAAATACACCTTATATTACACATAGAAAAGTAGGGTACTCTCGGCCTTGCCCTTATCTCATTTTACATTGATTTGTTTTCTGTTGCTGTTTGAATCTGGATGCCATTGCCTTTTAGTTGATGCTCTCCGACAAGTTGCTACCACGATGGGGGCCAAATATTGGAGTTTCAACGCTGGTGCTGATGCTTGCCGAATTGATATGGTGGGTGTAACAGAGAACCAACCAAGGGGATCCCAGAAAAATACCGATTGTGAATGCAACTTTGAGAACAACACTGTTTGTCATGTCGTAAAACTGTATGATTCTTTTGAACTTCATGTCTCACCTTGATTTTTCCACGACTTAATAAAAAGTCTATGCCTTCCATGTTTCAAAGCTCTCAATTTCGGTAGTTTCTGCTCAATACTTTAACTATTTGTTAAACATTTTACAGAATGATCAAGGGTTATAGTTTGCCAGGTTTGCTTCCACCCCAACTCGTCAAGCTTCCTTACCTCCGAGAAATGTATGAGCTAACGCATTTGAATTACTTGATTTTCGAGATTTGGACGATACATATCTTTATATCTTAATTAAAGTAACATTTCTTTCCGTGTAGTGATTTTGCTTACAACTATCTCAAGGGTACAATACCACGGGAATGGGCTTCAATGAAATTAACTTATATGTGAGCCTTTTGAATTTCTGTGAAAAAGGTTTTAAACGAGTTGCTATGTATATTTATTAGTGAATTTTCTGCAGTTCTGTTCTTGCCAATCGCTTATCGGGTGAAGTTCCAAAGGAGTTGGGAAACATGACCACTCTGACATTCCTGTACGTGTTGTTTAACTATACTACATGCCTCGTTAGTTGCTAGTTGACCTATAGATGAACGAAAATGCAGAAAGAGAATAAAAGAGAGAGAAAGTAATTGATTACATTGATACTGAATTAAATCTTTACAACTATGAGAATACAGTTTATATAGCCATCATGACTAACTTGCAGCCTAAGCTACTTAACAAACTAATTTTGGTAACAACTCTAACAACCTTTGGATATTGTCAACATATACAAACCATTAGGAACCTTGAAGCAAACAAGTTTTCTGGTATTCTTCCCACTGAGCTTGGGCATTTGGTCGGTTTACAGACTTTGTAAGACATCAAATCCTCTTATTCCCAATTTTTTAAAAGGACTACAAACTTATATATGTTGAGTTAATAGCCCCTTGCTGCATGTTACAATTGTAGGTTTATTTCCTCAAATCAGCTGACTGGAAACTTGCCAGAGACGTTTTCCGAGCTAAGGAGTTTAAGAGATCTGTAAGGTTTAATTAGATTTGTTTCTGTTTTATAGCATTATACTGATTCTCGTGTCTGATAATCAAAATTATACTGCAATGCAGCCGAATGAATGATAACAACTTTAATGGAACAATCCCGATTTGGGTGCAGAATTGGAAGCAACTCGGAAGATTGTAAAATCCTTATATTTGTTTTAGTGAAACAAGCTGTTCTCATTGCCCTTCGAATTTTTAAAATTTTTATAGCATGTATTAATCTTTTTTATTTCCCAAAAACTTGTCTTCTTGAAGAGATATGCATTCAAGTGGACTGGAGGGACCAATCCCATCAAATATTTCTTTTTTGTACAATTTGAAAGAGTTGTGAGTAATTTGGATCCTCATTCTGCTAAGTTATTTATTATGTGATCTTTCCTGCAGATTTGATTAATTGTTCTGTACATCGTGGTGTGTCTTTGTACAGGAGGATTAGTGACACAAATGCACCGAGCCAGGGATTTCCTGTGCTGAGAAATATGACGGGCCTAGTAATATTGTATGTTTGAGAGAGAGCTATGTCATTGAATACTTCGGTGGTTTCATATATATGTAAACTCACAAGCGCACACTCACGCAAATATCTTTTTCTGTCCAATAGCTATAACTAAAACTGTTTGACGCTGATTATTTAACTAATTGAAGGATTTTGAGGAACTGTAACATTTCCGGAGAGATCCCTGCATATATCTGGTCCATGAAGAACCTGGAGATGTTGTAAGTAATAAAACTTGTAAAAACTTTACTTTTGATGCTTGAATCACACCACACACAGACACCTACAGAAGTGAATGTCTGCAATAAAGCAGAATTGTACAGAAGTCTCCTGCTGGAATGAGCTATCTGCCCAGCTTCCTAAATGTAAAATATTATCTGACTACAATCAGCACCCTGCTCTGGAGGAGGAATGCATGTTGAGCGCAAACATATAGTTCATTTTTCAAACAATGTTTCTTGGATGCAATCAACCCTTTACTTATTCTGTCATATATTTGGTTAATGAATCTGTGTTAGGATGAAGGTTGATTGATTGTTACTATGTGATGGTCAGGGATGTCAGTTTCAACAACCTAGTGGGAGAACTTCCATCCACGATAGGAGCTGAGCGTCTGAAATTTGTGTAAGTGAGAAATGCAGTAACCTAATTGCTGAACTCAGCATCTTTCTTGATAGTATTGTGAGGTACAATACTAATACTCTACGTCGCTTTGATTAGCTTTTTGACTGGCAACCTGCTAAGTGGAAATGTTCCGAAGTCAATCTTGCTGGAGGGAAGTAATGTGTACGTTTGTTTCCTGAATACCTCGTTTCTGTGTATATACTGTTGTATACAGTAAATGTCTCCCCTTCTAACTCCTAATTACATGGCACTGAGGTTCCTGTTTTGTTGCAAAACTGAGTACATTTACTTTCTTATGATTTTTGCAGTGATTTGTCGTACAATAACTTCAAGTTGCAAGGCCCTAAGCAACCAGAATGTCAAGAACACTTGTAAGAACACATAATTTTCTCTATGGATTACTTTCTAGATTGAGGTGGTTTAGGAAAACTGAGTGTTTTCACAAACTGTTTTCAGGAATCTAAATCTGAACTTGTATCAGAGCTTTTCGAAGGAGGACAACTTGTAAGATGCTTCTTTTTGTATCGGAGCTCTCTTATTTTGCTTCTTTCCAATATAATTTCTTAAGTTAATTACAAGACAATGAGCCAAATTTGCTAAAATCTTTCTACTCATTAATTTTGTGACAGAGGGGGAATTCTTCCCTGCTTGAAGAATTTTAAGTGCCCACGATGTAAGTATATGTACTAGAGTGCTTGCATATCTCACTTTTGTCCTTTGGAATTCAAGGTTGTAAAGATGATTAGCATTTGCATCATGCTTAATTTACTGGCTAACTCAAATTTATCCTTGCTTGTCACCATTTCTTTTGGGCAGATTCAAATTGTATGCATATTAATTGTGGTGGAAGTGACATAATTGTCAAGGACCAGAATCGCAGGAATGTCATGTTTGAAGGAGATGGAGGAGTTGAAGGTGGTACTGCAAAATATTTTAGGAATGAGAAAAGTATGTGGGGTTTTAGTAGCACTGGTGACTTCATGCATGGCTTCGATCAGCAAAATACACGTTACTCTATCTCGCTGGAGTCTTCAAATCTCTCTGAATTATATACGACAGCACGCACATCTCCACTTTCGCTTACATATTTCCACTACTGTTTGGAAAATGGAATTTACACTATAACTCTCCACTTTGCGGAAATCATATTCACAAATGACGAAAAATACAGTAGCCTTGGGAGGCGTATTTTCGACATCTATGTTCAGGTAATTATCTACACTGTTCAAAATGCCTATCTTTTTATGGCTGCAAGGCTGCAACTTGAGGTTTTGATAAGAGACCATTGTTCTTCAGGAAAGGTTGGTGTGGAAGGATTTCAATATTGAAGATGAGGCAGGTATGGCTCAAAAGAAATTAGTTAAGCAAGTATCTAATGTCAATGTGACAAGTAATGTCCTAGAGATCCGATTCTATTGGGCTGGAAAAGGAACAACGTCGATTCCAGAGAAAGGAAATTATGGTCCCCTTATATCAGCCATCTCTGTGGTTTCTGGTGAGTCAGTCTTAGTCGACGTTTCTTACGCTGTCATTTTAGTACCACCATATGAACGGAAGGTTGAGTGAAGGTTTCCTGTCATATCGTAGATTCTGAGATTGTGCAAAGGTTTACTCATTCGCTTGAAAGCACTTCTGGCTTCTGAGTGACGTTAATTTGTTTCGTTTACTCATTGGCCAGATTTTAAACCCTGTAAAAATGGTGGAACCGTGCAAACTATTTATATCATTGCCGGTGTTGCTGTTGGGGGATTATGCCTAACACTCTTCATGCTGGCAATCCTTTGGTGGAAAGGATGTTTGGGAGGAGAAAGAGGGAGACAACAAGGTGCATATTACATTAAACCAGCCATGTCATTGCCAACAAAATATGTTAAATAACATCAGGAACTCATCAGCATACTTTATTTTCTTTTGGAACAGATATTGTAGGACAAAATATGCAGACGGGAATTTTTACTTTACAACAAATCAAAGCTGCCAGTAACGACTTTGATTCTGCAAACAAGATTGGAGAAGGCGGTTTTGGCCCTGTCTTCAAGGTAGCGCTTTATTTTATTTTTTTTTCCTGGCATATGGAATTCTCATGATTTGAAAAGTAGATTCTAAAATTTAAGGTGGGGATGCAGGGTCAGTTACCTGATGGTTCATTGATAGCGATTAAGCAGCTCTCATCCAATTCAAAGCAAGGAAATCGCGAATTTTTAAATGAGATGGGCATGATAACTTGTTTACAGCACCCGAATCTAGTGAAACTGCATGGATGCTGCATTGAAGAGGATCAATTATTGCTGGTGTACGAATACATGGAAAACAATAGTCTTGCACATGTCTTATTTGGTAGGTTTTCTGTCATTTTCTCTAATCCTGAACTTTTATGGCTTCAGTTTGATCAACTGAAGATCGGAGTACTTAACGTTTGATCACTTGTATAATTTTTTGAAAAAGAACGAAATAATAATTGTATTGGGATGAGTAAGAAGCAATTTTTTTTGGATGATATATAGATCAGGAGAACCATCAGATTAAACTGGACTGGCCTACAAGGCTTAAGATCTGTCTTGGGATAGCAAGAGGTTTAGCTTTTCTGCATGAAGAATCAAGAATCAAGATTGTTCACAGAGACATAAAAGCTACCAATGTACTGCTAGATGCGGATATTAACCCAAAAATATCCGACTTTGGATTGGCTAAACTTTATGAAGAGGAGAAAGCACACATTAGCACCAAAGTTGCAGGAACAATGTCAGTTACAATTAAATTTTCTTGGACGTATGCTTACATATTTACGCATGGTTTTTTCTTTTTAATTGGAATAACCAAATGTTCAAACGATCTTAATCTACAGAGGATATATGGCACCAGAATATGCGTTATGGGGTCACTTGACCTACAAAGCAGATGTTTACAGTTTCGGAGTTGTTGCCTTGGAAATTGCCAGTGGGAAGAAGAACAGCCATGTCCCAAATTCAACTTGCCTCTCTCTCCTGGACTGGGTACTAATTACAGGCTTTTCAATCTCTCAAGCCATTGCATAAAATTTTAGTTTCTCGACAAATTTATGTTAATCAGTAGGAAACCTTTTGATAAAGTGAAATTTCTGTGGTTGCATGCAGGCCTATCAGTTGCAACGAACTGGAAAATTGAAGGAGCTGATTGATGAGAACTTAGGGACTGAAGTCAACGACAAAGAAGCAGAAGTTGTGGTTAAAGTCGGTCTGCTGTGCACAAATGCCTCTGCGTCGCTTAGGCCTACCATGTCTGAGGTGGTGAGCATGCTCGAAGGACAAACAGAAGTCCCAGACATTATCCCAGAAGCGAGTACTTATACTGAAGATTTGAGGTTCAAGTCCTTGAGAGATGTACATCATCAAAGCCAAACACAGAGTTTAAGTGGCAGTCGGTCTCAGAATTCGGCAAATTGTCTCTTCATCACATCAGGGCATGACTTGAGTTAAATCCGACTTCCTAAAATGGCTGTAGTTTCTAAATTTAAAAGATTTTTTGTACTATACAAAAATCTGACCTCCTCTACCAATTGCTCCGTCTCTATTTTTCAAATGAACATTGCTCAATGAAAAGTTCTTGATTTTCGGCTTTTGACAGCTCAGCTATGATCGTCAACTCGACTTTACTAGAAATTTTATTGTACTCCGGCGTTTTTTAACCGTTAGATCATTAGTCGAAATATTGTGATTTACGGCTCAAAATTAAAGTGTTAGATACGATCTGGAAGTGGTTATTGATCGTATAGAAGCAGAAAAGAAACATTTGAAGAGTTCTGGTACCATGGCGACCAATAGTAGGTGGCAACCAATCAATCGGAGACGGGCAGAGAAATCCTCTTGCATTTCATGTTTAGTTTTTGTGTCTTATACGAGCTGAGTTTCGCACTTATTCGTTAGATACCTGAATTCTTTGCATGGTGGAGAAATTTTGATAATTTACTTATTTTATTAGGATAAGGATTTTAGGATTTTGAATTTGATGCCAACTAAGGTTAAAATTCTCATTGTAACTTAAATCATATATACTGTAAATAGGATTTTAAAGTTGATTTATTTTTAGTGTTAGCTTTGAATACTATCTTCATATGAGATGAAGTCGTATAAAAATTATAGTGTAGATACAAGACTTACTGTTTGATGATTGATCAACCACAAAACTATTCCGCCTAAAAACATTCACGGTGGTTTGAATTCTACGTGAGCATTCATTCTTTATTTTCATAACATATGCATTATTTTCTTTCTATTTTTCGTTAAAACGTGACCTCAATATTCACCTGTCGTGCGTTTCGATCACACTTGCAATTATCCGGTCAAAACAAACGTGCGGTGACCTCAGTGAACAGTAAAAAGTGCCTACTTCTCTCACACCTTCTAAAATTGGCTGTCTGCGAAAACTTACCAATTGCTACAATTTCATTGCTAGTTGGTGACGATGCATCAGCTGGCTGGTAACCTCTTTCTCGTTGATTGCTTCGCTATTATTGCATTGAGTTGCTTCACACTTCTGGGACTTGCTCAGCTGCCTAAGTTGCCCCAACAGGAAGGTGAGTGCTTATTACTGTATATCTTTCTACTGTTTACAATCCCTAGTTGCCTGTTTGGATTAGCTGGCCTGCCTGATATGGGCAACCCAAACTGAGAATTCTTCTGTTTTCATTTTCGAGTTATCACTATGAGGGATCCTCCTTTCGAGACTGCCGAAAGCGCTTTATATGCATATAAGCGCTTTTGTTACAAACATGTTCGAATTTTATCGACAATCCAAGTGCTTCCCGAAGAAGAGTTAGGTGCTTCTCAATGCAAAAGGCACTAAAAAGTTTTGTTGTCAATCGTAATCTGAAGTGCTTTCAGTCGTTAGAACCTTCCATAAGCAATCTAGAGAATATATAAGCTCCTTTATCAAAATTGCATCTAGTCTTGGCATTCACTCATTGATTGTTTACAGTATTGATATGCTACAGCTATGATGCTTATAGTATTGTTTGAGTTTGGATGCCTTTTAGTTGATGCTCTCCAAGAAATCGCTACCACGATGGGTGCAAAATATTGGACTTTTAACGCCGATGCTTGCCGAATTGAAACCGTGGGTCTAACAAAGAAGCAACCGAAGGGATCCCAGGCAAATACTGATTGTGATTGCAACTTTGAGAACAGCACTGTTTGTCATGTTGCAACGCTGTATGAGTCTTGACTTTTACTTTTTCTTTGATTTTTTCATCTCCATCGGCTTAAGAAGGCAACACCTTCCATGTCACAGCTCTGAATCTCGGTAACAACTTTAATATCATGTGTTTAATGTGTTACAGAACGCTCAAGGGTTACAGTTTACCTGGGTTGCTTCCGCCTCAACTCGTCAAGCTTCCTTACCTTCGAAAAATGTAACAGCTATCATATTTGACTTACATGATATACATTTGAGGTTCGGAATTGGATGCTACATAGCTTTAGTTAGTTATTAGTTAATTATTCAAAGTAACATTTCTCTCTTGTAGTGATTTTGCTTACAACTATCTCAGTGGTACAACACCGCAGGAATGGGCTTCAACGAAACTAACTTATATGTGAGCCTTTTGAATTTCCTGGAAAAGGTTTTGATCTCGTTGCTATGTACGTATATCTAATAGTGAATTTCCTGCAGCTCTGTTCTTGTCAATCAGTTATCGGGGCAAATCCCAAAGGATTTAGGAAAGATTACCACTCTGACATTCCTGTACGTAACTGCATTTTGATTCAAGTTCTTGTGATTGTTGTGAAAATATACTCATAAAAATGATACATCAACTTTCCTTTCTTTTTCTTTCGTAAATCATCAGGAACCTTGAGGGGAACCAATTTTCTGGTATTGTTCCTACTGAGCTTGGGAATTTGGTTAATTTGCAGACTTTGTAAGTTACCAAACCTCTCTTTATATTTCTAAAAAGGATTTAGAGTAGTTTATGTTGAGTTGATAGTTCATACTGCATGTTGCAAATGTAGGATGCTTTCCTCCAATCAGCTGACTGGATACTTGCCAGAGGCGTTTTCTGGGCTAAGGATGTTAAAAGATTTGTAAGATTCAATTAGATTTGCTGCTTTTTATAATAAACTGGTGCTTGTAACTAATTAATCAGCAAAATTCTAATGAAATGCAGCCGAATAAATGATAACAACTTTAGTGGAACACTACCCGATTGGGTACAGAATTGGAAAAAACTCACAAGATTGTAAGATCCTTATACTTTCATAAAACAAGTTGTTCCCGTTGCCATTTGACCATTTAAAGTTTATACCCTGTTTGAATCGTTTTCTTTTTTCAATTGCCTTGTTGAAGGGAAATGCATTCGAGTGGACTGGAAGGACCGATTCCATCTAATATTTCTCTCTTGAACAATTTGGAAGAGTTGTGAGTAATTTGCACTCTCATTCTGCTCAGTTTTTCTGCATGATCTTTCGTGTATCCTTGACTAGTAATTCCGCGCATCGTGTCATATCTTATGCAGGAGAATTAGTGACACAAATGGACCATATCAGGAATTTCCTTTGCTGAGAAATATGACAAGCCTAGTAAGATTGTATGTCGAGAGAGCTTCACCGTTGAATGCTTTGATAAGCTTGATGATTTCATATGCATGTCTAAGTGCAAGCGCATATTCACGCACACAAACAATCATGTTTTCCTACTTGTTGCAAAAGACAAAACTCCATTTTTCATCAATTGTTAAAACAAAATCCAACGGCTGACGAAATCATTTTATTGCATTTGATTGTTACCGCTGGTTTTTTGACCTAACAATTGGTGAGCATGAATTTGGTGCTCATCGTTGAGTTCTTCTGCCAAAAATTATGTCTGTCTGCTGTTCTTTTTCTATTCAATAGCTATAAGCCTCTAACTAAGAGCTGTGTTGATGCTGATTGTTTAACAAATTGAAGGGTTTTGAGGAACTGCAATATTTCCGGAGAAATCCCCGCATATATCTGGTCCATGAAGAATCTAGAGATGTTGTAAGCAATAAAATTTTACGTAATGTATCTGCTGAATGAAATCTGTGTTAGGACTTGGGATGGAGACTAATGATTGTTATTATAAAATGGTGATAGGGATGTCAGTTTCAACAAGTTAGCAGGCCAACTTCCATCCACGATAGGAGCTGAGCGTCTAAAATTTGTGTAAGTGCGAAATTATTTACGTTTTGATACTATCAGTTTTAATCTACAACAGAGAACAGTCAGTTGATTTCAAATTCTGGATACACCAGTAATAACTATTACAGGACAAAAGTAGTGACGATTTTTATACAAGCATTTACATCTGCATCTGCAACACTAGCAAATCGGCACACTAAACAGTTTTTCGTCTGAACAACTTGCTTTTTGGCCAATAACCATGTCATAGAAATAAAACCAAATTGATGAAGTTTGCATTTTTCTCGATAGTTCAGATATCAAATGCTAATACTATGTGTTGCTTTGATTAGCTTTTTGACTGGCAACCTGCTAAGTGGAAACGTGCCAAGGTCAATCTTGCGAGATGGAAGTAATGTGTGAGTTTGTTTTCTGAAGTGTTTTCTATTAGCCTCTGGTTCCTTATTATATCTGCATTCTACTTAAGTTCCAAATTATGTGTATCTACCGTTGTATATTGCAAATATCTCCCCTTCTTATTTCTAATTCCATGGCACTCCGGTTCCTGTTTTGTTGCAAACTCACAGTTGTTGTTTAAGCTTTTTTGCAGTGATTTGTCGTACAATAACTTCACATTTCAAGGCCCTGAGAAACTGGATTGCAAAAAATACTTGTATGAGTAGATGCTATTCTCCATAGATTACTTTTTAGATTATGGTGGTTTAGGAAAACTTACAGTTTTGTTCACCGTCATCTTTCAGGAATCGAAGTCTAAATTTGTATCGGAGCTCTTCAGAGAAGAACAACTTGTAAGATGCTTCTTTTTGTTTTGATTGATACTTTTCTTCATATCTTTTCTTTTCAATTTCCAAAGTTAACTTCAAAATTTGCTTATTCATCGTTCTGCTGAATCTGTGACAGAAGGGGAATTCTTCCATGCTTGAAGAATTTAAAGTGCCCACGATGTAAGCATACTTGCTGGAGTCTAAGTATTAAGGACTGCTATGAGACTAATTTGAAACCATTAGCCTTATTTTACACCTAAAAATTCAGTGTCGAGTTCATTTACGAATATGCACATATAAATTCAGCAATTACACCATCTTTGAATTTATCTTCACTCATGACAATTTTTTGGGCAGATTCAAACTGTATGCATATTAATTGTGGTGGGAGTGACATAATTGTCGAGGACGAGAATAACGCGAACGTCATGTTTGAAGGAGATGGAGGAGTTGAAGGTGGCAGTGCTAAATATTATAGGAACGAGAAAAGTATGTGGGGATTTAGTAGCACCGGAGACTTCATGGATGACTTCGAGCTGCAGAATACACACTACTCTGTATCTCTAGAATCTTCCAATCTTTCTGAGCTATATACAACAGCACGCGGATCTCCGCTTTCACTTACTTATTTCCACTATTGTTTAGAAAATGGGATTTACACTATAACTCTCCACTTTGCGGAGATTGAATTCACTAATGACAAGAGATACATTAGTCTTGGGAGGCGAATTTTCGATATCTATGTTCAGGTAATTAGCAACACTAATTGGATTGCCATCATTATGTTCTTGTAACTCAGGGTTTTGACAAGGTCATTTTTTTATCAGGACAAGTTGGTGTGGAAGGATTTCAATATTGAACATGAGGCAGGCATGGCACAAAAGAGATTAGTTAAGCGAGTAGATAATGTCAATGTGACAAGTAACGTCTTAGAGATCCGGTTCTACTGGGCTGGAAAAGGGACAACAAGGATTCCGGAGAGAGGACACTATGGTCCCCTCATATCAGCTGTCTCTGTGGTTTCCAGTGAGTCAATCTTGTTGACGTTTCCTTCGCATTTTAGTACCATCATTTTAACTGAAGGTTGTCCAAAGGCTTTCCTAAGATACTGTAGAATAAGAAAGGCAGTTCTGCAGTATTAGTGCATTTTGAATATTTGATTGTTTTCACAGTTCATGATTTTGCCTGTCTGATAAAATCTTTGTGGTCAGCATTATCTTCTTTCTTTTTGCCCGAAACCTTTTTGTGAGTGAGCGTAACTGGTTCATTCTTTTGTTCAGACTTTAAACCGTGTACAAATGGTGGAATTGTGCGAACCATTTACATCATTGCCGGTGTTGTTGGGGGAATCTGCCTAACACTATTCATACTAGCAATCCTTTGGTGGAAAGGATGTTTGCGAGGAAAAAGAGGGAGACAAAAAGGTGCATATTACATTAAACATCTCATTCTCAAATTGCTAGATTGCATCCTGCTGAAAATTATATCCAAAAGCTGCTACTAATAACGACTTTGATTCTGCAAAAAATGATGTTTGGCATACTTTAATTTCTTCTTGTACAGATCTTCTTGGACGAGATATGCAGATGGGGACTTTTACTTTGAAACAAATAAAAGCTGCTACTAATGACTTTGATTCTGCTAAAAAGATTGGAGAAGGTGGCTTTGGTCCTGTCTACAAGGTAGCCCAGATTTCCTTTGGAATATATAGAACTATCAAGGAAAGTCCTTTTCTTGTAATACAAATCTTCATGGCAAAAAGTAAATACTAAAAGTTACGGTTTGAATGCAGGGTCACTTACCTGATGGTTCATTGATAGCAGTTAAGCAGCTGTCATCCAATTCAAGGCAAGGAAATCGTGAATTTTTAAACGAGATGGGCATGATAACTTGTTTGCAACACCCGAATTTAGTGACACTGCATGGATGCTGTATTGAAGGGGATCAATTATTACTGGTGTACGAATACATGGAAAACAATAGTCTTGCGAATGCCTTATTTGGTAACTTTTATGATGTCATTAAAATCTGAATATACAAGACATTTAACATTTGATTTAAGTTTCTTGTGGACATTCTATAATTATAACGTTTCTGTTAAGGGAAGTTTTCAGATTTGATCATCTGTTTTTTATTTGTACACTTAGAAGATTTTTGGTTGCATGATATATAGGCCAGGAGAACCGGATAAACCTGGACTGGGCTACAAGGGTTAAGATCTGTACCGGGATAGCAAGAGGTTTAGCTTTTCTGCATGAAGAATCAAGACTCAAGATTGTTCACAGAGACATAAAAACCACCAATGTGCTGCTGGATGGGGATTTGAACCCTAAAATATCGGATTTTGGATTGGCTAAACTTTATGATGAAGAGAAAACACACGTCAGCACCAAAGTTGCAGGAACCATGTCAGTTGTCTTAAAATTTTTCTCGACACACATTTACCTATATACATAAGTTTTTTCGTTTTAATTGGAAAGTGACAAATTATTGGGACTATCTTAATCTGCAGAGGATATATGGCCCCAGAATATGCGTTATGGGGTCACTTGACCTACAAGGCAGATGTTTACAGTTTCGGAGTTGTTGTGTTGGAAATTGCTAGTGGAAAGAAGAACAGTTATGTGCCAAGTAACGCTTGTGTCTCTCTCGTTGACTGGGTAGTATACAGTTTTCAATCTCTCGAGCTACTGCATAATTTGTGGTTTTTCCGACAATTTTATGTTAATCAGTAAGAAACCTTTTGATAAAACGAAATTTCCATTGTTGCATGCAGGCCAATCAGTTGCAACAAGGTGGAAACTTGAAGGAGCTGATAGATGAGAGCTTAGTGAGTGAAGTCAATGACAAAGAAGCAGAAGTAATGGTTAAAGTCGGTTTGCTGTGCACGAATGTTTCTCCGTCACTTAGGCCTACCATGTCCGAGGTGGTGAGCATGCTTGAAGGACAAACAACAGTCCCAGACACGAAGCCAGAAGCAAGTATTATGCACTGTGAAGATTTGAGGCTCAAGGCCGTGAAAGATCGACATCATCAAGGGCAAGCACAAAGTTCAAGTGGAAGCCAATCCGAGAATTTGGCAACTTCTAGTACAGGTTTGCTCTTCCTCGCCATGAATCGAGTTCAATCAAATTTGAATCAAGATCCTGAGGACATCATGCATAGTAGCAGTCTAGCTAGTTGTCTATCCTTCTCTTGTAATTTTTTCATACTAATTGTTGCGAGTTTCTTTAGCAAATACATATGCTCTTCCTTAAAAAAAATACTAAATATTTAGAACGCTTGTTTGACTAGGATATCTTTCACACCAAAGATGTGTATTTATAAGCAAGCAGTCTGCATGGTATCGTATTATTCTCGTTCTTGACTAATACATAAGGAATGAAAAATTGGGTTTCAAGTTGAAATTAGCAATCTTCATGTGAAATGAACCATATAAAAATAGAAAAACTAATGAAAATGGTTTGAAAATTTTTAAGTTTTAACTAAAATGATAAAAATGTGTTATAAATGAATAGTATCTGTTAAACCGTATATTTTCACAAAAAAAAAAAAAGTAAATAAAAATATAAATGAAGTGGAGTAGACGTGGAGATGTGTGGGGATTGCAAGTGCCTACCTTCAAGGGGTGAAAACAATATGAAGGTTGTTGACTTTTATCTCCAAATATATATATATATATATATATATATATATATAATGGGATAATAAAATCACTTCACAACTGGAGACGTGGGTGGTTTTCTACGGGTGTCCTACTATGTGATAGCACTCGTCCACTGAGTATGATTGTCTTCCCTTTTATTCTTATTTCTTTCCTTTTTTTTTTTCATATATTATTTTTTGTTTTATTATTTTTATAAAAAAATTAATATAAAATATTGACGTGATAAAATTAAAACTGTTCAAATAAGATAAAAGGAAAGGGTAGAGAGATTGGAGGGAGAGAATCCTCCCTCACCCACTAACCACAACTTCCGTTTCCACCGTTCGCCTATAAAATGCACTAAGCCAAAGCAAACCGGGGAGAAAAGGAGGACAGAAAAATAGACACACAGAGAAGACCTGCGGAGAAGAAATAGTAGAAATCTCGAGAGAGGTCAAGAGAAATCAAAGAAGGAGCGAAGTGTTGGAACTCAAGGAGACAAAGGCAAACAAAGAAGAGGATACACGGCAAGGGAAAGCAACAAAGCATTTAAAGGTATAAATCCATCCTTTTCTCTTCATTTGTATGGTTTCTCTCGGCTTTGCAGGAGAAAAAGAAGCACTTTGCTTCTTCAACCTCGCCCATTCCCCGAAGCCAAAAAATGAAGGTGGAGACTCTAAAGAAGCAACCCCAAATCCTTTCCCTAACTCTCACCCTCTTCCGGAGATCACCAAACACACAAAATCAAATATCCCAGAGGAAGAAAAGGAACCCAGCAGTGCCGGTCTACCATGCCCAGCAATAATGTGGAGGTTCGCCGACGGCGCAAAGGAAAGAAGCGAATAAGGCAGCAACATCAATGAACACACTAGTAGCGGCCACCGCTGACCTCCCCAGGGCCCAGAGAACCGCAGCTTCAAAAGCTCCGATGCCTCCTCGCTCCTCCCGTAGCAGCGCCGCCAGCCGCAAGAAGCAGCAACCATCATTGCCGCTGTCAATTCCTACAACCGCAACGGTCGCCGTCAAAAGCCCAGCCACGAATAACAGCACATATCAACTCTGCCTTCCCCCGACTGCAGTGCACCGCTCTCTTTCTCTCTCCCTCTCCCGGATTATTCACCGAGACCCACAAAGAAAGCTTGGGAAATCTCCCTCTTCCCTGCTCAGCCGATGGCAGCAGTGTTGATGCAGCACCAACCGTTGATCAACGCCGACGACAAAACCCAAGCCACGAGTGGCGGCAACGGCGAGCCGATTTCCCTAGAGTCCAGATCGCAGCAACGACCTACAACCATCACCGGCGCAGCAAGACATCAAACGAAAGCCAAGACGGACGCAGCAGCCGTGCGCCATGATCCCTGGAAGATCAACAGCCGGGAACCGCCGCAACCCCATCAGCCGACAGCAGCAGAAGACAGGCCCAAGGCCTCCAAGACGCTGCAATGGCTATAGCACCACCGTCGTTGTGCCTTCGCCGTCATCAACGCCTTACAACCTGCGAGCCTGTGTCAACGTCAAACAGCCGTGGTCGCGTCTTCAAGGACAAGCCCACTTCCCGTATTCTAGAATTGAGGGTGCTATGCACAACGGTCTCGCTGAGAAAGAAAGCCATAAGAACTCTCAAGGAGCAACCACCATCACAGCCGTCTATCCGAGTCCAAAGTAGTTACGCCCACATCCTGCTCACTCCGATATCAACTACCACGTCCCTGAAAGCTCCGAGAGAGTCCCGGCACCATGCTCTGTCTTCTCAAAATTAAAGATTTCTAGCACTGCAGCACTGCATCATCCAAACACCGCAACACCACCGCTCGTCAACCGTTGTCTTCGGCAGTCCTCCGGAAGAAGCCCAAGGGCAGTGCAATCCGCAATCCGAGGACGGTGAACCAAGCGATGAAGTTGGGCATGCGGATCCAGACCATCAACAAATTCGACAGAGGCTCGAATAAGAAGGTGGCAGCGGTGGTCAGTGTGAAGAAGTTAAGGAAGACAACATTTGCATCACCATTTCTGACGTCAAGCGGAAGACAAAGCCAAGGACAGCACCAGCGACTTCAACGCTGACATTACACAACCACCGCACAAATCTGAGCATGATGATCCAGGTGGCAAGCTCATGGATTCGTACGGACAATTATTGCCATCGTTAGTCACGGACAGAGAGAAAGAAGAGTTCCTTTTGGGACCAAACAAGCATCTCATGGCAGCCAGGAGTTGCAGAAAAAGGGACGATGCGCCTGGATGCATAGAAGGCTTGCTGGAAATGAATGTTTCTCTTTCTTTTGTTGATCACCCTCAATGTGATGACAGTAGAAGGATTAATTGAAGGAAACCAATATAGCATGGGGTTCGAAAAGTCTGTTTAAAGGTCAAAAGGAGGCTCCCAAAAATCTACTGCACGAAGGGCTCCTGCTTTCTTATCGTTTCTATGGAGTTCGTAGCAAGAACAAAGAGCACTGTTGCCTTCCTCATATAATGATCGCTACTCTAAATATTAAAAACATGTTGCTGCTTTACAGTGCAATTTTCTTGAAAGTCTGCGGAGCTTTCATAAGAGCATTTCCACCGGAAGCAAAAGAGGCCAGCTTCCTGTGTAAAAAACAGGCTGGGACGGTCAATCCACTTCAGCCCGTGGAATAGACTGGTATGCAAGATGCAACCCAAGCCAGTCTTCAGGCCAGCCTAAAATGGATTGACCAAGGGATCAGTGTTTGTTTTTTTGAGCCTGTTGCGTGGCCTTCACTTGCAAGTGGGCGCGAGTAGTATACAACAAAATTAGAGGCAGAGCCCGCTGGCAGACGCACTCAAATTTCATCTGGTCTGGGCGACGTCTCCCACTCTACGCCGTTGGATCACTTTTAAACTGGACTGTCTGATCACAGATCAACAACCCACGTTTTTTTCCCCAAAAATAAAATAAAAAAAGGCCCAACGGTCAGAATTATAACCATTGGCCACGTGGCAGCTCATTGGTTGTTGAATTTGAATATTTTTCAAATCCAATGGTCCAAATTAATTAACAACATTAAAATTTATTAAAAATTATGAATTTTTTTTTTTAAAATACAGAAAAGTTTTAAAAAGTTAATTTTTTTTTTCTATAAATACCTAACCCTCATCTTCCATCTTACACCACATTTCAATATTTTCTACACTTTATACATTTCAATATTTTGTACACTTTGAGAGAAAAAAATGACTTTGTGGAAGTTCATTGAAGATGTTATGTTGTGTGAATGTTGGGTTCACACTACTCATGACCCGATTACAGGTACTGAGATGGATAAGCGAGAAATGTGGAGTAAAAATACGAAAGCGTTTTGCGATGTACATGGAAAAGATGTCAGAACTAGTCAAGGTCTTCAAGGTCGTTGGAAAAAACTCAATGCATCCTTTACTTGTTGGAAAAACATCATCTCTCATGCTTCCAGTAATCTGCATAGTGGGATAAGTTTAGCGGATCAAGTAACAATATTTTTATTTATTTATATGCATTCCACCCACATCAATATTTTAATTTATTTAATTTCTTATGTAATTTTTATGTAATTTATATGTATTCCACGCACATCAATATTTTAATTTATTTATTTGTGTTACACCCGCATTTTTTTAATATTATCTTATCTCACATTTTTATAGACACTACAAGCACAAGCATTCTACAATGCAAAGAACCGGAACAAATCATTCAACAAATGGGAATGTTGGCAAATTGTCAAAGATTGCCCTAGATACAAAATTGTGGCAACCGGTCCAGAAGTTGTCATGCACGGCATAGGTCTACACAATAGGGACTCCTGAAGAAGTGCCGGAAACCTAACCAACTCGTTAGTCCCTCAGGCCTCAAGGTAAAAAGACATCAAAGAAAAAATGTAGTTCTTCCAAAAATGACTACACTAAATATATGGAGGAACTTGCTTGCTAAGGTGAACTGAACATGGTGTGGGAAAAGGCTAGAGATGAGGAAAAAGCTGCTGCTATGGCAGCAATAATAGCAGTTACTGAGGCTTGTGATGCGGCGGCTGAGAGACAAAGAAAAATAGTTAATCGAGAGAACGAGATGATTAGAAAAGCACTTCATCGAGAGAATGAGATGCTTAGAGAAGAAAGGATGGCTCAAGCAGATCGTGACACTATGAACAAGCCTCTAGTAGGACTGTTTTCGAATTCAAAATACTTTTGGACATCGGAAAAAAGAGATGTCGTGCGAAGGAGACGTGCAAGAGATGCCGAAACAAGTCGAGGGGGTTCTAGCTACAGAAAGCCTAGCAACGAAGATCCTAGCACCACATATCCTAACTCCACAGACTTTGTATAATTTCGTATTTATTTGTAGTACTTTATTTAATTTGTTATGTAATTTCTTATTATTTTTAGAACTTTATTTAATTTCTTATTTATTTTTGGAACTTTATTTAATTCCTTATGTAATTTTTATGTAATTTCTTATTTATTCTTAGAACTTTATGCAATTTCAAATTTATTTTTTGTATTTTATTTAAACACATCAAATAAGATTACATAAACTCACCAAATAAGTTTTTAAAAAAAACACTAAATAAAATTACACAACCTCACCATATAAACTTAAAAAAAAACATACTAAATAAGATTACTTAAAAAACAATACACTTTATTCTTCAACCACAAGCCTCATTTTAATTATCTTCGCCTTCGTGCGATCCTCACTGGTGCTCAATCAAGTCATTTTGGCGGGTTACGTGCCAATATGGCTCTTGCAATGAAATGTATTGTTGA